ACTTCCAGCCTGATCAGACACGGATCCACGGATGAGGCTCAGTGCTCTAGGACAGGGGTCCCTAACTCCCAGGCCGCAGCCGGTACCAGTCTGTGGCCCGTTAGGAACCGGGCTGCACAGCAAGAGGTGAGCAGCCAGTGAGTGAAGCTTCAACTGTATTTGCAGCCGCTCCCCAGCATAGCATCACCGCCTCAGCTCCACCTCAGATCATAAGGCATTAGATTCTCATAGAAGCACCGGTCCCTGGTGCCAAAAAGGTTGGGAACTGCTGTTTTAGAACAATGTTTTTCAGATGTTTTTGACCATGACCCACAGTAAGAAATATGTTTTCCAGGGCAACCCAGTGCCCACACACGTACATATATATATGCGTATATGTATGTCTGATTCCATCTGTAAATTTTCACAAAAGCAATATACTTGGATATTTTCTAGTACAAATTTATTTTCAGTGCTGGTCACAGTCACTAAATTTGTTTCATGACCCACAGATTTGAAAAAAATACTTCCTCTGTGAGACATTTCACCAAAGGGCTCTTCTCAGCCACTTGGGCCACTGTCAAGTTCTCCCAATGAGGACGTGAATAAACAAAGATGGAATATTCAGAGGGGCTGCCAACCTGTGCCGTGCACAGGTTTTGACAGGATGTTTCCATCTGTTACTGCTTTCGGTTTGTTTGTTTGTTTTTGTTTTGTTTTTGTTTTTGTTTGAATAGGGGGAGGAAAGGTGAAGTCGGGAGGATGGATGAGAACAGCGGGAAAGAAAGAGCCACCCTCGTACCTGGAGTCCGAATTCTTCACTAAGGTTGGTGAACAGATACTCATACCCGTAAGCTGCCTTGCAGTTCAGCCACACGACATGGTAGGGACTCCGAGAGATCCAGCCTCGAACCAGCTCCAGTATCCCACTCAGACACTCCGCCTGGGCAGGAGTTTTAAAAGGCATTTAATGCTTTTAAGAATATCACCCTTTCTATTCACAGCTATTACTGCCAATGGGGCTGATTACGATCTGATTCTTATGCTACAAATGTCCTTTTAGAAACAGGGCCACCCCCAGGTTCTCACCCTTTCTCCAGGGAGACTTACTCGACTGGGGATCTGATAAAATTTTGGATCGCAGAAAGTAGTATCTAAGTACACACTCTGGATATCTTGCACTCTGGGGGGAAAAAAACAACCGGTGTTAATCATCTAATGTGAAATAAAATACGTAGAAAGTTTAAAGTCTGTTATTTTACAGGGTGTTCCACTCCACTTGGAATTTTTTTGTTAAAACAATTTTGTTGGGAAATGATTTCCATACAATAAAATACACGGGTTTTGCACATATGGTTCAGTGAACTTTGACAGATTCACCTACTATCTCAACCAATCAACACATAACATGTTACCCTCCTCCTGTTTCAAAATGAAAAGTTAGCTTTACCAATATTACGAACAAGTTTGATTTCTGAGAAGCAAAGGCTTGTGTTTGGTGGGTAACCGGGCAATAAACCTTTCAAAATGATGCAGTCTCATGTCCAAGAGTTAGGTCACGCCAGTACCTGCCGCCATAGTGCAGAAGCTCCATTCTGGCAGTTTCTCCTTTGGCCAGTCTGAAGTCTCCCGTGTACAAGACAGTTCCATTATTGCCCTGAAATAAAAACCTGCAAAGGGAGATGTCAGTGACTTCTCAGTCTCATCAAAACCCTAGTAAAGCAAAGCAAAACACGTACTAATTCCACAGCAAACGTTTCCTGCCAAACAGCCACTATGACATGGTGTTAATGGAATTTCAATAGCTTTAAACCATATCGGGCACTCAGCGGCCACCTCTTTCCCGGGGTAGAAAAAAATGACACTACTGAGTTTGCAATAGATGTCCCCTGAAATACATTAGCACTCTCAACTATATATTGACATCCTTCCCGCTCATGGAGAGAAAAATCCATGTGATAAGAAAATGCAAAGCCAATGGAGAAATAGCTATCGAAGACTTCCATGATATGAAAGCCACGTTTCAAACTCGATCTTCGCCTCAGTTCCCCAAGTTCAATTTGGAAACAAAGATTAAAAGAAGTACCATAAAAATAATTGAATCTCCCTATACATTTTATTTTCTAGACCCTAAAAATGTCTTTCTACAAATATAACACATATAATAAAATGGCAAAATAGATGAGCCCCCTTACATAACTGATCCTGGACAATGACCAGCTGGTAAGAGAGTCACAACAATCTCTTCCTTCTAAAAAAAAAATAAATAATAACAGAAGTTATCATTAGGACCCAGCTAAATAAAGCGCTCCTTAACAAAACACATTCAAGTACTTCCCAAGAACTGGTATGCCTGTTTTCCTCATGTCCTCTCGCCACAGATTCTGGAAAGAAGTGCATTCCTTGCCCACAAAACAGTTAAACGTCGAGTTACATATGACAGCAATTCCACTCTAGGGTATTTACGCAAGACAGATGAAAACTCAGTTCACAGCAGCATTATTCACATGAGCCAAAGAGAAGAAACAGCCCAAATGTCTATCAACTGAAGAATGAATAAACGTGCTTCATCCATACAATGGAATATTATTTGGCCATAAAAAGAAATAAAATACATACAATGACATGGATAATCCTGGAAAGCATTATGCAAAGTGAAAGAAGTCAGTCACAAAAAACCACGTTGTGTGATTCCATTTATATGAAAATTTCAGAATAGGCCAATCCATAGAAACTTCTAGTAGAATCGTGGTTGCCAGGGGCTGAGGGGAGGGAGAAATAGGGAGTGCCTGCTAATGGGTACAGGGTTTCTGTATGGGTGATAGAAAGAAATGTTCTAAAATTGATTGTGGTGATGGATACGCACTGTGAATATCCTAAAAGCCCTTGAACTGTACACCTTAAATGAGGTGAACTGTACAGCATGTGAATTTTATCTCAACAAAGCTTTTATTAACAAGAGCAGCAGCAGCCTGAGGTGGCCTGGTCCCAAGTCACTGTGCTGCACACTGTCCTGTCCGGTTAGCCTGAGCCTGGCTGGCGCGCGGGCCTACGTCCCAGCCCTCAGGAGGCGGGGCGGAGGGCGGGGCTCTGGACACGCCGGCTCCTCCCCCAAGTCTAACACCATTCATTCCGAAGTCCCCTCGCAGCTGCAGACACCACACGCAAAAGCCGCAGAGCACGAGAAGAAACGTGAAGGACCGGAGTGGGACAGTGCGACTCCGCTTGGGAGCCGCCTGCTCTGTGGGGCATGGCTACGAGAAAGCTTTCGGCAACGTCCATCACAGGGCGGCGAGGCGCCCCGCGTGCTAGGAACTGTGCGGGACGGCGCGAGGGAGGTTCTGGCCACCCTTCTTCCCGCGTTTGGGCCCGCCCTAGGTTGGCCGTGCGGGGGCCCTCCCTTGGGACAGTAACTTGATGAGCAGTGCTTCCAACGCCTGGTCTTCTCCAAAGAGGAAATGTGAAGTCAGCCCTGTCTGATCGGTCCCACAGTACCGAACACTCCTGAGTTCCCCAGGTCAGCAAAGCGGGTTGTGATCGGGCTCTGAAACAAATACTCACTAGATCCGCCTAACGTAGGAAAACGTCTCCTAGCTCTAGGCATAATTTAAGGTAAAAATAAATTTAAAAAAAAGTAATTCCGTGGTCCTACTTACTATTAAAGCAACACACAACACAAAAGTGCCTGCTTCTAAATTTAAGAACAAGAAAGAAATTAGATCCATGTGGACAGTATCTTTTTCTTGAATAAGAAAATCACAATGTACATTAATTTGCTGCAAAAATTTTAACACCATTTCATATCTTGATCATCATAATAAACTTAATAAATGTGACAATGCTATCACGTAGTAATAGCAACAATTGGTATTCTCATCATTAGCATGTAATACTAAAAGGAAGCCAATTTGATAGAAATTATGTCCAATCCTTTGGATGCAGAAAATAAAGTTACCAATGTTTTTCCCCCTTCAAACTCATTCTATTGCTATAATTTTTATTTATGATTAAATGAGCATTCAAAAGCAAGGAGAAATATAATCACTTCAGCACTAAATATTAATTTTGAAAAACATAACACTTAATATTTAGTTACCTCGCCTGATGCTTCATCCACTAAAGGTATCTGCGTGGGAGTTTCAATTTCAATTGAGATCTATATGAAAATAAAAAAAGAGGTCATGTATACATCACAGGGTATATTTTTGCAGTTTCTCGTGCCTTTGCCATGTCAAACACTAAAAGGGGACTTAGAGGAGAAGTTACAGATTCTCTGGGTGACAATTTCTGATGTCACTATAAGAAATATCTTAACAGCTTGAAAACATGATAAAACTAAATAATATCCTTCTTGAGGTTGATGTGACATTATTAAACGTCTTATAAACTTATATATCCTTTGACACAGCAGTTCTATTTCTACGATTTCAATCTTCCTCCCTTCACCTCCCCGTCCCTTTGAACTTGAGCCTTTGTAAAACACTAGCGTTCCATGTGTTTAGGTTTTGTGCTGCAGAACAGACCACATCCTTTCATGACATGTTGACCTAATTCACAGATACCAGCTGCTGCAAATGCTCCAAGGCGTAGTTGCACATTTTACCAGAACAGCAACTAATACGGAGAGGCACTCGCGAAGTAGATGATGAATGAATGTAATTTGTCATCTTTTTAGTCCAGTGATTGAAGTTCAGGTTTTAACACATCCTTGCATTTCTTGAATAAACACATCATATTCATCATGCACTATTTTTTAATGCTGTTAGATTCAGTTAGCCATCTACCTTAATTAGGGTTTACATACGAAATGGCCTCTTCCCCCATGTACTATTATTATCTTTTTGCCAGGGGGTTGAGTGGCTTTTTATTATCTCCTACAACAATTCATCTAGTATAGGGATTATTTGTTCTTTGAACATTTGGAAAAATGCACCTATAAAACCATCTGGGCCTGGAGCTTTATTGAAGAAGAGATCTTTGAAAACTGTTTTCATTTCTTGGATGGTTTATTCAAGTTTTCCACTTTTCTTGCCTTGATTTGGTATTTTCCTCCTTTTCCAAATATTTATTCACTCTGTCTAAATTAGCAAATATACTACCATAGTAACTGTCAAAAAATGCATTGCTGTTATTAATATTTTCCTTTTTATCATTCTGTATTTTTATATGCATTTTTTAATCGATCCTGGCAGAAATGTATCTGTTCCTCTAAGGACCGGCTTTTAGTTATGTTCATCTTCCATTTTCCGTGGCAGCTGTTAGTCTTGATATCACTAACTTTTACCGTCATTATTTCCTTCTTTCACGCACCTTTGTATTTGCTTTGTTGCTCCTTTCCCTTTTTATTGCGTTGTAGACTCATTCCATTTAATTCTAGTCTGTTTACTAAGAAATGTGTGTGGTGCTATCGGTCTCCCTCTGAACACTAAGTCAGCTGTTCCCCGCACCTGACATGCCACGCTCTCATTTTCCATCACTTCTAAGTACTGTACGTTTTCTTTACAGTTTCTTCTTTAACCTAAGACCTGTTTATTGTACACACTCAGTTCCCGTATGTGTGACTTTAGCTCCCCTTTCATTTCTGATTTCCAACACCGCTGCATTACGCTCAGAGAATAGGTCACTAGGGTTTCTTAAAACTTCTTTGCGACATGGTATATGGTCAATTTTTGTAAACGTTCCATGTATACCCAAAGAGCTTGTTTTCCCTGTTGGGTTTAAAGCTCTGTATTTCGATTAGTTCACATTTATTAATTATGTCATTCCAATGTCATGTCTTCACTTATTTCCTGCCTCCTTCATCTTTCCGTTTCTGAGAGTGGGGTGGGTAGCACTTCACCTACAATTGCTGAATTGCCCATTTCTCCCTTAGATTGTGAGGTGGCCTTGTACTATATCAACTCAGTTGAGCGAATTGTCCTAGAAGTCCCTTCCATGTATGCTTCCAGCTTAGGGTTGAGATTTAGAAGGTGGAAGTGAACCAACAACCATTTTTCAATGCTCCAGAGGACACCGGAAATAACCACTGGTGCGTGTCGCAGACCTGCCGGCTCAACCCACCAACACGAGGCGGGGCGGCAGCAACTCCACCCTCTCCAGGAAATCTGTCCTCCTTCGGCCTCTGGGGGCCTGGGCCCGGGCTGCGGGGCTCAGTGGCAAAGGGGGCGGTGGCACTACTGAGGTTAGGAGGCGTGAGACAGGGACATGGGTTCCAGTTTGTCCTCGTGGATTCCAGCCTGCCCCTTCTCTTCTCCACAGCTTTCCTCCCTGACTGCCGGCCACGCCGACCCATAGCATCTGGAGGCCTGATGCCAAGGCCAAAGTTACAGCCTTGCTGCTGTGTCCCTTTGCGGAGCGGGGATGGACCCGGCCCTGATAGGTTGGGGGTGGAAACAGAGGATGCCACACATGCGCCAAGAGGGCATGAAACAGCTGTGCTCACGCTGTGGGGCTGTCTGGGGACAGGAGGGCAGGACGGGCTTAGGGTTGGAGGAAGTGACCCGTGTGGCCTGGGAGAGCCAGTGGCTTTGGTTTTTATTGTGGTTGGGGGTGGGCCTGGGCTCATGTGGTCTGAACTTCATGTGGGTGCCGAGGGAGGGGTAGGCTTCTGTACCAGCTTGCCCAGATGTACGGCAGAAGCGGGAGAGGAAGTGAGAATTGAAAGCTGTCAGCGATCAAATGACAAACAGACTCTTTATGACACTTGTTCAGACTTCTCTGCCAGCTCCCACAATTATTTGGGTTTAATCCACATAATAGCCCTAATTCTAGCAACTCACTATGGTTCCCTTTCTCTGATCAAGCACAGGGTAATCAGTTATTACTTTATCCAGTTTGAGGTTACCTTTGTCAATTGTGTATATGTTCACATCTTCTTGATCCATTCCTTCTAACAGTAAATTACATCCTCTGGGAAACTTAGAATTGTTTTTGCCTTCAATTCTACTTTGTATGATATAAAAATTGCCACGATGGCATTTTTTAGCTTCTATTGTTTGGTATATGTCCCCCCCACCTTTTTTTTTCCATTCCAACTTACATTTATCCTTTTGTTTTAACTATGTTTCTTGGGAACTAAGACTAGTGGATCTTTCTTATTTTTTTAACCTAAACTGAGAATTTATCTTTTGATCAAGAACTGAATTAAATCTATTCATATTTATAGTAATTACTGTTATAACAGAACTTTTTCTGCCACCTTTGCATTTTCTATGTACCAATATTTTATCTTCTCTTTACTATATCTTCCTTCTGTTGACTAGATCCATTTTATTCTGCCAGATTCAAAGTTATCCATTGTGTTTTTATTCTGGTTGTTAGCCCTTTCTTATTATAGCCCATGAGTTATGTTTATTTTTCCTAATCTATCCTATGATCTAAATAAGAGGATTTATCAATTATGTTAATGAACATTTTACCCTTTAAATGAGTCTCTTGCAACTTAGCAAGAGACTCAATGAGATTAAACAAAACTAAGGACCTAGATCAAAATTCTGAGGGAAAAGAAAAACAAATGTACAATAAAATATGGACCTCTTCTAAACCGCTGAATCACAAAGACTAAATATAAACATCGATATTGTAATGAATGTGGACAAATACAGTGTATGAGGAACCAAGCTTTGAATAATTCTAATGCTTTGTTCAATCTACCTCAAAAAATATTTCCTGCTTGATAAAAAAGAATTAACATCACTCAAAAAATAAAACTTACAATTCGTTTCTCCCAAAATCTGTACTTCGGGCTAGTTAACAACAACTCTTTAGTAACAGGAGAACAGTATAAGTAAACCTTCAAGCTGAAAGGGAAAGACAGAAAAAAAAAAAGAGCTGTTTCAGTGTAATCCAAAATGAGCCATCCTGGTGACTAGGAAATACATTTCATCACATATCACATCACTTATCTCGAGCTGGCACAAGTTAGTGTAGTTCCCAGCATGCCAACACCCCAGTGACTAGCTCGTCCCAGCGAGAGTGTAAAGGGACAGGGAGGAAGCAAATGGAGAAAATACTGTGTCCCCTGACCTCTTCCTCAGGTTGGCCTTCACCTTTCCTACGTTACAGATGCACATTTGCACGTGATTAGGTATGTCTGGAAAGACACCACCAAAGGCTAGGCCACCTCTGGAGCTCGGAACGGGGATTCAGGGGACATAAGATTTCTGTGTTCCGCTGCACATAAATCTCTTCTGGTTTTCTGTTTGTTTTAGTGAGCAGGAATCAATTTCATGATAAGTTTTAAAAATTCAACAGCATGGCTTAGAGGTTAGGAATATGGTCTATGGCAGGCTATTTTCCAAAGGTGCCTACACTACTACATAGCACATCTACACCCAGGCTTCTCATGAATCGTCCATGGTGAATTCCTCCATTGACAGGAGGTCTTTATGTTAACATCCCCTTGACCCTGGGCAGACCTGTGACTACCTTAGCCAACGGCGGAATGGAAGTAATACTGCAGGGCTTTTGAGGCCTCCGGGCGACATGGCTACCTGCCAGTTCTACTCTCTTGAGGCATACACTTTCTTTTCAGTTTCCATATGAGAAGTCCACTTATCCTGAAACCACTATGCTGAAGGGGTTTTTTAGATATAGAGATGCCTAAGGAGCCCCAGCTGTGATTCTTCTCAGCTTAGGTGTCAGACATTGAATAAACAAGCCTTCGGATAACGTCAGCCCCATATGATGCCCGGGCAGGCAGAAACCAGCCATCCCCTGTGCTCCATCAGAATTCCTGACCCACATAAACTGAGAGAATTTATGATTAGTGTTGGTTTAAGTCACTAAGTTTTGGGGTGATCTGTCATGCAGCAATGGATAACTAAGACACACACACATAGCAAAATAAATTACCTGCACTCCAACCTTCTTTTCAAAGCCGGGGCTCTTAGTCCTTTCATGTGATCTAAAAACAAAAGGATCAAAAATCATAAAGACATTCTCTTTTCAGAAGCTCACTGGTCCAAAAACACTCAGTTGTGTGCTCTTTTTAAACTTCCTTTTGAGAGAAAATACGTGACAGGTTTACTTTTACAAGAGGATTGATTTGTATGGGCTATTGGCTCTTCCTTTTGCAGGTGAAGAATCCATCTGCAAATAAAACAGGAACCACTAAAAGCTGACCATTTCTGAGCCATAAGAAGCTATTTAAAAGGAGAATGAGCCTCTGCATCTTAGGGCAGAATCTAAACCACTCTGAGTAGCCATGGGAGAATAAGTGGCCATGATCTCCTCTGGAACTGCTTCCAGTAATTTCCTCTACTCTCTTCTTTCATTTCAATTCAACCATCCTCTGGGATTTGCTCTCTGCAATCCACGCGATTCCAGATACTTAAATTATTCCATCCGGAAATTCCAGCTTGCTTCCTTAGAATCCTTGAGGAAATTCTTCAGTCTTAGGCCAGAATAAGAAGAGCTTTGTTATCTTTTCGGCCTACTGTGACTGCTGTATTGAAAAGGAGGATATTTCTATCCACACAGACTTGTTGCAAAGCCCTCCAATTAACAGACACAAAAAGATGACATTTAAAGACAGGTAACATTTAAACCAAATATACATTAAATAGAGGATGCATTCTAATACATTCTGAATCTTTAGCATGTAAAGGCCTAGATAACAATGACCAAACACTTATAAATTGTTTAATTAAATCAAATAGTTCTAATTATTCTAATTACCACACACACACACACACACACACACACACACACACCACGTGTGTACGCCCTCAGTTTACACGTGGCAACCCTTGACTCCAGTGAGCACAAGGCAGTCACCACACTTCAAGTGGCAGGTCCTGACAAGTTCCTTCACAGGACAGTCCACTGGCCTCCTCAGAGGGTCATTCTGGGCCCAGGCTTTTAGGGTCTAGGAGTGCACCTCAGGGCAGGACTCTGAGAAACTGGGGTTTCCACAGAGTTTGTGCCATGAAAACAGGAAGCAGAATCCAGACTGTGCTCCATGCTCTGAAACTAAGTCAGCAGGCAGCATCCTAGAGCCATTTCATCAAGATGCTCCACCCACCACCCCTTCCTGACTGGAGGCCAGGAGAACCTGAGTGAGTTTGCTCTGTGCTTCTAGAACTGCACCCAGAAATTTATTTCCGGGGCCTTTTTCTTTTTCATTCATCAGAAAAAATCGTAAGTTGTCCCCTGAAGGGGCCCTCCCCAACCCCAGGTGATTATCTCAGGCCTCACTGATGCTTAGTAAAGCCTACCCCACTTGAGCACAATAATGAAATCCAGACGGTCCATAAACCAATATCGACTGGATTCATGGCCTTCTCCAAATTGTATCAAAATGTGATATTAAGATGTTTATGTGCATTTTTTTTTTCTAGCAAAAGAACCCATAGGTTTTATCAGATAGTCTGTATTAGTCTGCTTGGGCTGTCATAACAGAATACCATAGACTAGGGGTCGGGGGAGGAGCTTAACCAACAGAAATTTATTTCTCACAGTTCTAGAGGTCAAAGTCCAAGATCAAGGTTTCAGGGTTGGATTTTGGTTAGCCCTCTTCTCCTGGCTTGCAGACAGCCACCTTCTTGCTATGTGCTCACATGTGTTGTTCTCAATATGTGTGTGGAGAAGGAGAGAAAGAAAGAGATCTCTTCCGCCTCTTATAAGTCCTATCGAATTAGGACCCCACCTTTATGACCTCATTTCACTTTAACTACTTCCAAACACAGTCACATTGAGGTAGGGGCTATAACACATGAACTTGGAGGGGATGCAATTCAGTCCATAGTTCATTTAAAGAAATCTGTTTCCTCAAAAGGTTAAAAAACATCAATAGATAATTTGGAAAGCCACCAAAAGCAGAAGTTGACTGCTCGCCCTTGATGAGTTTACATCCTGGTTAAGTAAACAGATCTACATGTGATCAGAGGACAGGAAAAGTTATTACAAACTAATTGAGAGTGGGTAGTCCATTTCTTGCTTAATGTACAAATTAGTGATGATGATTTCACAGGTTCCTTTAGATGAATTCTCCCTCCAAACCCATTACTCCTAAACATGAAGGTGAAGCCCCTTCACCATGCTTTAATCATGGCTAACACATTCAGAAATTCCAGTGAGACTCAACACAAAATGCAGAAACAGGGCTATTTTCAACCAGCAGCAGATCCTCAATGAAAAACAAGACAAAAAAAAAAATGTTGTTCTCAATAATAAGCAGAAAGACCCTCAAAGAAGCTCACAGAGCTTTTTAGCAAATCGAGAAAGGAGCTTCAGATTTCCTCATCAAAGAGAGACAATTGGTGATGGTGAGCAAGAAAGCAGAAGCATTTTCCCAAAACAGATAACTTCAACAATTTACACCATGTTTAAGTAAAGTGACCGATTCCACACACAACAGTTGATCATCATAACAACCATGGGGAAGGGCAGTGTTTGATACCTATAATTTATTGTAAAATTACACCTTGTGATATGTATGTGCATGTGTTTGTTATGCTCTAATCCCCTCTTCTAAGTGGATGGGAGAATCCTACTCAAACTACTCTGAAAGCCCACGCTCCTACAAGCAGTTACTGCTCTGCTTCATCTCTGATCAATGCCAACGGCTGTGCTAGTTAACTAGCATCATGAATGTTAAAAACTGTTTTCATCCATCAAGTTAGTGACCTACTAGTCCGTATAAAAGGTGTTAAAAATGGACCATGGTTGTGAAATTAGTGGTACTGGCTCTGGAGTTTAGCTAATATATGTTAGAGACACTCCAGCCTTGCCTGAGGCCATGTCCTTAGGTGTGACACTTCCGAATGAATCTCTAATTGCATGGAGCTGTGAGATAGTATTCTCACTGCCTGACCTGGCCATCTATAAGGTAAACCACACCTGCCTCGTGACTAAAATGAACCTTTCCTACTGGATGTGGACAAAACATCTAAAAGGAGGAGGAGCTTGCACTGTCAAGTTTACAGAAAGAATGTTTGATTTCAGAGTGTGTGTGCCTGCTTGCTAATGTTCGAGGGTGCGCGGCATGGCAGAATTTCATCTGTTAATAGTTTCCTTTAAAACATGGTAGCGAGGATGTAGGGAAGAACTAAATAATCCTCACCAACCTCTGACTACTGGCCGCTGGGAGAGCTTCCAGAAGAACCTAATAGTTGTGTCCCAGTTCAGTGTGTAAATGGCAGTTGGACAGATAGGAAAATAACGCTTCGGAGAGGCTGATGAGCCAGACTGGGACAAGGTGCAGGTGCTAGTCTCTCCCTGGCCTCCCCAAACCGGTACTCCCTCGCTTCAGGACCCCGAACTCCCCCTTTCCTCCTTTCCAGGCCCCCGGGTGACATCCCCGAGGGGCCAGAACCCGCGCAGCCCAGCTCCCCCGGGAGTGGGCGGTGTGCTGCGCTCACTCACCCTTGTGGCAGTGGGACAGGAAGTAGGCGCGGGCCCTCAGGTTCTCCCTGTCGAAGCGGTCTATGGAGATGGTCGGATACTCAGCCATCTGTCCCTGGAAGGAACTCATAGTGCCCGCCAACCCCGGAGGACTGGCCCCGAAGCCGGTAGCGGAAGCTGAGGTCTTCCCTAACCTCGCCGCCACTTCCTGGAAGCTGCTGCCGCCTCACCATTGGCTGGCCGGGAGCAGCCACGTCCAATCAGAGGAGCCGTGAGGCGGGGCCGGGAGCATCCTGTCAGTTTCCACCACCTACTGTCCGCTTGTTACAGGTCTGGACTGCGCTGCATAGGAGTGAGGCTTGAGCCTGGGACAGGGGCAGCGGGGTGGGATCTAGCACGTAGCACGAAGCGTGTGGCTCTTGCCAGAAACCTTGATACGGTAGTGTCGTTCTGGTGAAGAGTTGCCTGTGTCTATGTAGGAACAGTAGCGCAAGAGGAAACTGAACACCTGTAGCGGGTGACCCCACCCAAGGATGCAAGGGGGGATGCAGAGTTTCACCTGAAAGCAAACTTTGTTCCTCTTACTATTTGTCCACTAAGCGCCTTAAAGCCGAGCTCAATTTCCCTTCTCTTTTTCAATTTCTATCTTATGGGATAACCATGAGGATGGTACGAGAACAGACTGTATCTGACTCATGGTAGATTCAATAACTGTTAGTTCCCGCTTCCATTTATAGCTGCAAACTGAGTAAATACACAACTCCTGATGATCATAACTCTGATGCATGATCTTAAGGCAGATAAGATCCCAAGGATAAATTAGCTGCTAGCCTCCCCACGCCCGTCCTTTTGAGCTATATTTTTTGTAAGTTAAAAGAAAAACAAGTGATAGAGTAACAGGAGAAAGGTCTGGAATTTTTAATCCATTTACCATTTAGGAAAAAAGTGCAGCTGGCTGCCAGCATTAAGTTAATTTTACATTAACATACTCTTTAAGGCTGAAGCAAATGTGACTGGTTTTCAATGTGAAAATAAAATATAAAAACTGTTCTGTCCAAACAGAACTTGTCTCTAACCCTAATGAAACAGAAATATATACAAAAATCAGATTCATCAAATGAATTTTTGGCTAACAACTGTCCGAGAATGGTGTTAATATCACGTGTAGAACTGCTACTTTTTCTAGGATTTGACATTTTCAGCGATCGAGAATTACTATATTTTGTAAATGGAAATAGCACTACTAAAAACAGAATGCTATAAATAGAATGGGGTCATTTGTTTCCAAAGGCTATTAATAATCTACAGCCATGCCACCCTGAACATACCAGATCCTGTCTGATCTCGGAAATTAAGCAGGGTCGCGCCTGGTTAGTACTTGGATGGCAGACCACCTAGAAATATCAGGTGCAGGAGGTGTTAAAAAAAAAAAGGCTATTGATATGCCAGATGATGTGAAAATACTAATAAAAGCAAGATATTTTGTGGCAAACTTTGGGGGTAAGGTTAGGACTGTAATCCGCGAGTTATCTTGGGATAAAAGATGCTGCCGCAAGCACCACCGGCAAGTATTTTCAGGGCAAATGGGATACGGGTTAAAGCATCAAAGCAACTTTATGAAAAGGTTTACTAAAGTATTAATTCATCAAAATGTCACAATAACATTTATTGTGCCTCTTTCTAGCAAGTCTCCTTAGACACCACAATATTAACAATCACAAACAGCTCACTTTCGAGGTCCTGCTTTGTGCTGTAGCACGGTGGCAAGCCTTACAGTGGTTATGTAGCTAACTAAAATGTGCCTTCGAGTAGTTTTCAATCTATTTGGATACCATGGGTTTGCAGAACACGCTAAGTGAATGCTTTCACAGAGACACAAAGTAATGTAGAATAAATTCAGGAACAAGTTCTAACCAGGGAAATCTGGAATCAGAATGCCACCCTCAGAGTACATAATAAGCACGTTCCTGCAGCCATGGTACTCAGAGTTCTATTCATATACAGATTCTCAGGAAATTTTTTTAATGGAAGAGGAAGAGACTCTAGTGTGTCTACCTCTCACAGAATTGGGAGCCCCTGTCAAGGCTGGTCAAGATAATGCTCATATTCTTACTTATTTGTCCACTGATTTATTCTCTCTTCTTTCCACAATGGATACAGTACTAAAGAGTAAAGAGAAATTGTGAGGATTTGGGATAAAGGAAAAAGAATAGAATATAGTGAAGATGGGTAAGCATAGCCCACAGACATGCACACATGCACTCTCGGAAGACGTGATCTATAAATTTGGCTCTTCTGGAGGAAGACACAATCACTTACTAGCCTTTGGCATCCTCGAGATACAAATAAAACAGATTTTCATAAGAAGTCCAATGTTCCGTGTACTAAGAAAACCGTGGTCAACACTGGCTACTCTCTTTCCTCATTCCCCTGGTGGGAATCTCTCTCCTTCGGCAATTCCAAAGCTCTTTGAACTTCAAAGTCCCTGATTTATTCTATCCCAACAGGACTGAGGAAGAGACACCACAGACTGGGTGGCTTAAACAACAGAAATGTCTTTTCTCACAGTTCTAGAGGCTGGAAGTCAGAGATTAAGATGTCAGCAAATTTGGTTTTTCTCTCTTTGGCTTTCAGATAGCCAGCTTCTTGCTTTATCCTCACATGGCCTTTTCTCTGTGTGCTCACAGCCCTGGTACCTCTTCCTCTTAAAAGGACATCAGTTCTATTGGATTAGGGCCCTACCCTTAGGATATTATTTAACCTTAATTACTTCCGTAGAGGCCCTATAGCCAAACACAGTCACACTGGGGGGTGAGAGCATCAACATATGAATTATAGGGGAACATCATTCAGCCCATAACAGTGTCTGCGTCCAAATTTCCCCTTACTCTAAGGACACTAATAAGAATTAGGGGACCACCCACTCCAGTATGACCTCATCTTAATTAATTACGTCTTCAACAACCCTTATTCCAAATAAGATCATATTCTGAGGTAGTGAGGATGAGGACTTTAACATATGAATTGGGGGGAGGGGACACAATTTAACTCATCACACAAAAAATGTAAAATAATACATGCGATATGTATTTTAAGTTTTTAAAATAAAAACATGGTACTATGTTAACCACAGGGTTAACAATTTTAAAATTCAAAATGTACTAATTTATAAGATTGAACTGCAGACGGCTTATCTTCAGTTTTGTTACTTTTATTTCTGCACTGATTTCGGTTTTGGAAGATGTTGAGAGGACATTCAGTTTAGAACTAGTAGAGAATGGATGGATTCATTCAAGTTAACATTCCAAAATAGACAGCTCAGGGGCCATGAGTCTAGTCACTGGGTTTTGGAGGGCCTGGTTAGAGTCTCATCTGAGCCATTACAGTTTGTGTGATCTTGGTTAAATTAAACTCTCCATAACTCAGTTTTCTCATCTGTAAAATAAAGGTAACAATAATGTCTTCTCAGAGGACAGATTGGTAGTTGCGAGAGGCGGCGGGTGGAGGGTGGAAGAAATGGGGGAAGGGGGTCAAAAGGTACAGACTTCCAGTTATAGATAAGTAAGTTCTGCGGATGTGATGTGCAGTCTTGGGTCTATGGTTGACAATACGGTACTTTATATTTGAGAGATGATAAGAGGGTGGGTCTAAAAAGTTTTCATCACAAGGAAACAAAATTGTAACTATATGAGGTGATGAATATGAATAAACTTATTATTGTAATCATTTTGCCACATATTAATATATTGATTCATTATGTTGTACGCCTTAAACTTCTACAATATTATGTAATTATAGCTCAATAAAAGTGGGGGAGGGGTAAGGAATGAGTTACTGATACAATGACATGGATAAATCTGAAAATAATTACACTGAGTGAAAGAAGCCAAAGGAAGAGTACATATTGTATTATTCCATTTATATAACATTATACAAAATGTGAGATGATCCAAAGTGACAGAAATCAAATCGACAGTTTCCTGGGGGCACCAGGAAACAAGTTCATTAACCTGGTTGTGGTGATGGTTTCACAGCCGTACACCTATGTCAAAACTTACCAAATCATATGCTGTTAAATATGCTCCATTTATTGCATTGCAATTATAGATCAACAGGTTTAAAAAAAAAAAAGAAATGTCTAGAAGGTGTGTGGGAGAATGAGGACAAAGTAAACAAGATTGACAAGGATACCCCTTTTCCAAAGGAGTTGATTCAGAAGACATAGGTGGCTAACTACATAATAGAAGGTGGTTTTAAAAAATCACAATGTATGCTTATTTTCCATTAGTTACATATATTCCTCCACTTCCATTACCTCTTCTCACCATCTACCCTCACCCCTCTGACTGCTAAAAAAAAAAATTATTGTTCAACTAGAAGGAAGGAAGGAGGGAAAGAAAAGAGGAAGGAAGGAAAGGAGGAAAACAGGCTATCTAAAGCCCTGGAAAACGGTAAATGTTTAATAAATGTTAGCTATTACTATTTACTGGGCATACACTAAGTGCTAGGCACTGTATACTTGAACCTAGAAGTAATAAAGAAAGCAGCCATAGCATACCAAGAGCTCACAATCTGTCATAAAGAGAAGCACATGGGGAAAAGAGGTTTACAGTCCTCTAATGGAAGAATGCTCAGGGTGTAGTATGGAGACCAAGGAGAGATCTCAGCTCTGCAAGGACAAAGGGACCATCGGAAAAACTGAGCAGAGAAGGTGAATCTGAGTCTGGCTTCCAGGCCCAAGAACAGGGGAAGTCTCAGGAATGAGCTTTTATTCAGTCTGGACACTGCAAATAGTTCCTTTTAACCACAGCGTTGGGCTCAAAGGGGGTAAAATAAGAGGAACTTCACAGGGGAAGTCTAAGGCTAAATCAGCTAAGAAGGGACCAGTCCATGAGGGCGTGTACACCAAGCCAAAGAGTTTAAACTTTGACCTTAGCAGCAGTAAGAAGCCTGAGTGGTTTGAAAGAAGAAAGAGAATGACAAGTAGAACAGTATTTCTCAAAGTGTGGACCCTGGAAGAGCATCGCAAACAGTATTTGGGAACCTGTTAGAAATGAAAATTCTCTACCCTAGCCCAGACCTACTAAATCAGCAAATGTGGGTGTAGGGACAGCAATCTGTATTAATACACCTTCCAGGAGATTCTGACAGATCCTAAAGTTTGAGAAGAACCATTGGATTTGAGTTTAGAAAGACACCCAGGCAGACTG